AGACAGCAAATGCGAAATACTTATAAAACTGTAAAATGATTGGTCTATATATTGTTTTATATATACAGTATATATATATATATATTATAGACCAATAGTTTACATTTTTGTTTTCATTTCTGCTATAAATTTCAACAAACATTAACACTGTAAACGGTATAAGACGCGGCCATCAAAAATTGAATGTACCCTTCTGTATCCCATTGTCTCTCCAGTTAAATAAATAAAAAAATAAAAAAGAAAACAGTTATTCCATCGGCCCAGTTTGTAGTCTTCTATACACGGTACATTAGCAACTGAACCTGGGTCACCGATAGGTTATTTACAACACTATATTATTGTATTTGAATTGCAGCTGAAAATTGTGCCCAAATAACAGTCAAAAGACAACACGCCAACCGCTTATTTTTAACCGTGATTTTAGGGTCACCATCTCTGCTGCATGCCATGCGAAGAGAAAAATAAAGCACGGCTAAATCTCACAGTATAAACACTCCCAAAAGATAAGTATACGTATTTATAAAAACAGACAGTACTTATTGTAATGAACATTGCAAATTTACTGACAGTGGTGATAGAAAAGATTCTCATTACAATACTAGTGCATTAATATCCTCTAGTATCGCCATCTCTGTCATTGTTTATAATCATGAATTCTATATACTTTATATCAATTTTCCCGAGCCAGCAACTGTAATTAACATAACCGACACGTCATCATTGTTCTCACTCCATCCCAGAATAACATGATAGACAGAGAATAGTGTTAAAGTTGGTGTCACTGAATTCTCTGGTCGTCTGTGGCGTGTATCATGCACGCATCTGCGCACTTAATGAAGCGGGGTGTGCGAAAATCAGGTGTCAGAGTGAATGGCATGGAGCGAATATTCAAGTTGAGCCCACAGTTAATATTTAACTGAATTGATCTACATCCGATTTCGTCAAATCCTGCCACCGAGTGAAACAATTTGTCAGTCAAAGAGTAGCTGGACATGTAAGAGAACCCGCAGTTACTGAATTCCAGTAATCACCAAACGCAATATTTCTGAGCATCTCGGTCGCAGCAAAGGAATACATTGTACGATATCAGCATGGCGCTTCTGTGTTACACAGCGCGCTATCTTATTTATTTCTGGTTCTTCATGCTTTTGAATATTCAAGGTAAGTACCATGTTCAATTCAACAGTGCATTGGCGTAGTAAACTTTTTTGCGTGTTTTCTGAACGGGTGCATATTATTTTAATAGGTTAAGACTTTAAAACAGACATGCGCTCTGAGCGAAGTTCTTTTTTTTTTTTTTATCATTTTCATGATATATTTTATTCTATTTCTTGTCAATGCGATATTATGGTTTTCGAATTTCGATAAGTCTATTTCCAATTCAATTCAACTTTTATTTCGGAATTTTCAAATACATAGATCAACTAAAAACTAAAAAAAGTGAAACGAATTGCTTGGTGATACAGGATTTAAACCAATGATTCTAGATTGGAAGACAAGCATCTTAACCATTAAGCTACAGCACCCTCAAAGAACAAATTGTTATAAACGTCACTGTGTCGTATAAATAATAAATTTAAGGTAGCATACAATCATGATAATAAAATGGTTTTAGATATAGCTTCTCTCCCCATCTTGGATATACGTATTTGTATATATACATGTATACAGTTTTTTTTTAAATTATTACCAGTACTTTTCTTAATCCTTTCCATATAAAACAAGGCAGATTTGTAGAACGTTTAGAAGTGAGGTTTTACCTTTCAATTTTAGGTTCCCAAATGTTTAATTTTCGTTATTATACTGTTTTATTTGTTTAATAATACTACATAATATTTGTTTAAAAAAAATCAAGTTTGATATCATCGGCCCTATGATTTTTATCATTAAAAATTACACTAAGTTAATAATAGTAATAATAATAATAATAATAATAATAATAATAATAATTTGCATTTATATAACGCGTATTACGCAGCGCCTCTGCGCTTTTTTCTTCAAATTATGTACCGTAAGTTAGATGAGAACGCAAGGGAAATTGGAAATGTATACACAAATGAACTCCAGTATATTGAGTGAAATTTGCTTATCCACAGTATTACACTTCTCGCCTGTAATTTGGTGAGCTATTCCTTTATGAAATTGAATGATTAAATGACATCATTTCAATGCAAAGACTACGTTTGAGGATAATGAACCAGTCAATGGTGAATCTAAAAAAAAATAGAAAATTAGATTTTAGGATTAAAGGCTAACACCAAAAAAAAAAAAGGTTTTTTTAGTGGGAATTTTTTTAAATTTCCAACTCTAAAGTAAATGTACATATAGTTATGTAGCACCAAAACATGTGTCGGATGAACTAAATGCTTGTCATAGAAGAAACCTAAGGAGGAGTATATTGAATATTTAGTGACCGAAAATTTTTAAGAATGAAAGTCTGTATGCAGTCTGTAAAACTAATGCACTCTCAGAAAGGGTATTTGGTTATAGATAGGCCTAGTTAATGCTTGGGCATGTTTTGAGGATGAAAATACACCAGCTTTTTCATCATTCATTTATGCGGTTGTTTTTAATAATAGTATTAAAGAGCGTGTTGGAAGACACCAAATCAATCTATTGTCTTCAATTAGAAATGATTTATGTTCTAGAAAATTTAAGTTAACTGATTCCGAAGATTTAAATGTTTTAAGATAGAAATAAATTATCTTTTTTAGCTTTGATTTGTTAACTGTATATGCCCAGGACTTAAACAGAAACTTACAGTATATTGAATTCTGTTGAACTATAGTTTTTGAAAAAAAAAGTTGTTATAATATGTATATATGTTAATATATGACAATTAATATAATACGAATAATTTAAAAATTACATGCTTAATTTACGACGTTATGATCCGATGATAATATCCTATGAGATCAGATGTAATATTCAATTGATTGATCATATATACGTAATTATACGGTGTGGATGATATAATAAATCTTATTGAACGTAATTATAGAAGTCTTATTAGTTCCGTCATTTGGCAGTGATGTTTATGCTGGTTATAATAGTATTAAGGACGGAAATAATGACAATTTTATTCTGGTAGCTCTGGGCGATGTTTAAAGAAAGAAATCAAATATTGGACGTATTATATCGTCCCCTAATATTACACGCGTGATTAACGACGTGTAACGACCAGATTATGCTTTTGGGAATTATGATTGAATTGATTTCTTAGATCTATTTTAAAATAACAGATGAAAAATACAAACAAAAAGCAAAATATAAATTTAATCTTTTTAATTTTTCGATTTTGATTTCAATTCATTTCAAAATACAATTAGGAACAACTATATAAAAAAAATTATAATTTCTGGCAGGAGCCCTCTGACTTTTAAGAGTTTCAACTCGTGTCCTTAACTCTATTTACTGCACTTGCTTAAAAGAAAGGTTTTTTGTTAGGATTTCAGGAGCCCTACTATTCAATGCATATACACATATAATAATTGGTTGTAGGTTATAGGTTATAATAGGTTAGCTTGAGTCTTTGAAGCCGATTCAATGTAATCACAGTTAGAAGCATAAGCAGTGGCTAGTCTGGAGTATTGAAATAGGGGTGGCGAATGTGAAGTGGGAGGGCTTATGATTAGCCTATGTGAGGGACGCTATCTGGCAAAATAAGGTGGATATGCAGTAATTTTTATTACTTGATAAGTGGGGAGACTTGGGAAACGCAAGCTTTTTGGGGGGAAGAAGGGGGTTACGTCCTCCGCAACCCTAGAGGCGCCACCGAGCATAAATAAAACACCAATAGGTATGAGCTGAAGTTATTAAGCGTTTAGATTGATTGATTGATTGATTGATTGATTGATTGATTGATTGATTGATTGATTGATTGACTATCTTCACAATTTTAGCCTGAACCACAAATAAGTAAATGAGAAATGATTAAAATAAAAATAATTTTGTAAATGGAATAATAACAGTAAAATAATAATTGACATTTTTTATAGCGCAAATTATAAAACAATGTTAAAATCAAATGCGCTTTTGACAGAAAAGTTTCCTTAAAAAGTAATGTTTTGAAGTCAGCTTTGAAAGTGGGTATTGTCGAAGATTGCTTAAGATGTAATGCTAGAGAGTTCCAGAGGGTAGTAGCGCTGCAAAAGTGAAAGATCTGTTGCCGATAGTTTTGATGTTGTTTTGGGGAATAGAAAATAGGTGTTGGTGAGAAGATGAAGGGAACGAGAAGGGGTATTTTGGGAAGGAGATAGGATAATTCTGCAAAGTTGAGAGCTTTTAAAGTCAGGAGGAGAAGAATTATATACTTAATCCTCATGACATACACATCGCATAATGAATGAGAACAGTAGTTTATCATGACTAACATTTCCCTTGTTTAAATAGTAGTAAAAAGAAAATGTTGCTTTTAGGTATGTTTATGCGTACAATTTTAAAGTCCTTCGTCTAAGATAGATGTATTGTAATTATACAGAAGCGCAATGGACGTACGCTAGCCTGTCAATATTTAAACGTTCTCGCCTGCAAACATTTGTAATGGTAATAGAAAACGGTGCCTTTGTACACCTCGCATACCATGTTTCGCTATAATCATATAGGAATACAAAATACCACCGGTAACACGTACATGTAGGAATTTTTAAAAGTGATAAGTTGGTGTTATAATGATGGATTATTAATTAAGTCCGTATAGAAGACGGGTGCAATGCGTGCGTAATGTTCTCCAACTTTCAACAAAAATCATTATTTCAATATAAAATACGAAAAAAAAAAACACGTTGACTTGAATACGTCTAAAATTTAGGATAGGTTAGCTCAAACCTCTTAATGCCTATAAAATCCCGGAGCTCCGGAATGGCCTGAGGTGTACTGAACTCTTTGGACTATTGGGCGTAACCCCTGGTGTTGTAAAGAAAGTTGTTCACTTCGTTCGCTACGGTAGTAAAGTGTAAAATGTACGAAGATATATAAATGATTGATAGCCATGTCTAAATTATTTGATAAATACATGGTGAATCTTTGGCGAACGAAGATCAGACTACAGTGCATTTCACATATCGCAGAAACAATTCTTGAATTATTTAAGAATAACAGCAATCAAACAAAATCCTAAGTATATAAAATTCTTAAACTAACGAATAAAGATTTTATTGTCAACGATGTCTACTTTAGAAATTGAAATGTACCCCAAAACAAATATAAAAACGATTACATAATACAGAAAAAAAACCCTTTCAAATAAGTTTTAAAATTCAAAATTTGATCTTTAAAATTTTAATTTTTTTAAGATTGTTAAGCATTATTTGAATTGAAATAATTATGATGATTTATAACTGGTCCCCATTTTCCATAATTGTCACACATAAACAAAAAGCATTTCAAGAACCATTAAGGCTCATAGGGACTGAAGCTTATCCCCAGTTTTTGTGGCGTAATGCGGATGAGAGTGTTTTCCCCTGGATAAGACGCTAGTCTATCACAGGATAACCTCAGCAATTTTGATGGTACATCGTATAATCTACAGTGACCTTGCAGTTGAAAATATTTATCGGATTAACTGCCCGTTTCGGAAATAACTAGGCCTACTAGTGGGCATTTCTTCCCTATCATACAAACATCTACATAGACATAATATATTTTCTGCCAATGGGTGCCATGAGAAGATGTCATGGAGAATCCGATTCGAAGAGACTAAATGTTAGGTGACTATTCCTACTGGACAGAGTAGAGTTATAAGCTTCTAAGCATGACCTATGAGAGACAGTGACATTGCACTACAGCATATCTACAGCACAGCTATGCCTACAGAGTTTTGCCCCCCCCCCCCGTCGGGGAGAGTTCCCCCCCCCCCTGTCGGGGAGAAAAAGCACAATTCGTCGGGGAGAAAAAAAGAATATATGTATTTTCTACATATTAGTAGACTATAAAATCGATTAAATAAGCCTTTAAACCCCTAAATTGTAAAAAATTTCGGGGGCTTTTCCCCCAGGACCACTTTCGGAAACTTTTAATCGAAGCTCGACCACGCGCACTTTGCTTTCGTCGGGGAAATCTGACCCCTCGTCCGGGCATCGGCCCCCTCGTCGGGGGTCTCCCCCCCCCCCACCTGTCGGGAAAATCCTGGCGCCACCCCTGCTGCATGAGCATGCTTGATG